TTTAATAACTTATATGAATAATAATTGAAAATTTTATTTTCTCACAAATAATTTTTGAATATTTTTATCTAATAACAAAATTTAATTATTATTTTTATAATATATTAAAGGATTAGTATATATCAATTTAACTCGAAAAAAATTAGAATTTCAATTTATATTTAAAAATTAAAATTTTAATTTAAAAGTAAAAAATTTAATTAATTTTTTAATTTAAATATCAATATTTAATAAATTAAATTTTAATAAAATAAAATGACATAATTTAATATTATAACTTTAATTTTTTTAAATTAAAACTAATATATATTGAATTATGATCTAAAATTTATATTAAAAAAAGAAATTAAACTAAATTTATTAAAAATTGAATTAAGTAAGTATTAGATTTTTTTTCTTTTTGAATACGTTGTCAAAGAGTGAGCTCAAAACCCACCCATAAAAAAAGAAAAATGCATCTTAAATTGATAGACTGTCAATTAACCTGAAAAATCAAATGCGAGTATTTGCTTTTTTGTTTGTGTTTATTATCGTGTTACGTATATATTCTATACGCCAAAACAGTGTTTTTTTTTTTTTGGGTAGTGAAACAATATAATTAAATTTACCATTTCAAGACGGTTGCCCCCGAAAGAGGAAATAAATTAGCTTGCCTAGGCGAATCGGCCCTTATCGCCAGTGATTCGCTTTCAAATCTTAGTGTTTAAGTGTGATGGTGGTCGAAACTTTGAGTTTCACCACTGTCATGAATTTTACTAAATTACACTTTGATAGTCATGCATTTTATTTAAGGGGATGAAATGTTCACTTAATTTGAGGATTAATTATTAACAATTCATTCATTAATTTTTTAATCATTACCCTTATCAAAAAAAAAAAAAAATCTTGTCTAGAAAGATTAGGTCATCGTCCGATCGGACTATCAGGTTGTGGGGTACCAGCTGCACAGCAAAAATCAATCATGTGGTTTATTCCCATGATGAGTCGGTTAGGGTGGAAATCCTAATAAAAAGTTGGGCATTTACACATCATCAAAAGATTATGCCACAATAAACTATTATTGTGCATTTTAAATAGCACATTTTAAATTATTAAATTGAGAGGAAACTCAATTATTAATATTGGGGATTTTTTTTATTTAATAATTTTTATTTTATAGTATGTTATAATTTGAATAATGTGAATTACTTTCTCCCATTAAAATAATAAGTAATGGTAAGGAGCACCTTATTTTTCAGTTTAGTGGTATTAAACATATTGAATAAGTGCATCTCTCTTCTTTTTGAATGAGTTCAATCCTATCTCGTGTCAAATTGTTAAAAAAAAATAATGATAAGGAAGATGAAAATTTACTATCAATAACATATGTATGTCACATTATTAAATTAATTAACATATACAATATCATAAATTAAAAAAAAAACAAAAAAAGTAAATCATTA